AACAACAACCAAACACTACATTGGTGTTATCAGAAATAGTCATGAAACCTTTTTCAGAAAAGTCCAGGGGCTGGGAATGGAGCTCAATAGTGTAGTGCCTGCCTGGCAAGTGTGAGGACTTGAGTTCAGTTCCGGGTGCCAAAAAGAAAAAGAAAAAAAAAATCCAAGAAGTCTAGTATAGAAAGTAAAACTAGCTGGATGTGGTGGCACATGCCTGTGATCCCAGCACTCAGGAAGCTGAGCCAGCAGAATTGTCAAGAGTTTGAGGCCAGCGTGGGCTACAGAGTAAGTCCAAGGCCAGCTTGCATTATAAAGCAAGACCCTGTCTCAAAAGAAACAAGAAAAAAGGAAGATAAAACCAGAAGGACCACTTGATGCTGTGTTTAGGGCTTTGGATTGCTTGGTGTCGCTACTCCTGAGAACCCTTGTGATTACATGGGAAAATTAAAATCACTGGTATAGGGAAGATATGCTAAGGATCTTAGCTGTTATCTGCAATCTTCTTGTCTCAGCAAGTTCGATCATCTCTTGCTGTTCCTATAGGCTACTCTTTGGGATTGCTCATCCCCAAGTGCCTCCAAAATGCCTGCTCTCAGGACCTAAGAGTGAAGGGCTCATGACCTGGGAGCTGGACCGGCTGCTCTGGGCCCGGTCTGTGGAGAACCTGGCCACAGCCACCACCACCCTCACTTCACTGGCCCAGCTTCTAGGCAAGATCAGCAACATTGTCATCAAAGATGATGTGGCATCTGAGGTAAGTGGGCAGGGCATGGATTATGTGCCTAGAATTGGGGCAGCCAGTAAGAGCCATTTCCTAAATGCCCCTGGCTTGCCAGCTCCCCATCAAGAGTGGATGAGAGTGAATGAAGGTTTCAAGCAACCCTCAGAAAATAAACCATATCTCTTTCAGTCTGACCCCCATATATTCTGGGTGAACTCTGGGCACTCTCCTACAGATGGGAGACACAGGAAGACCCAGCCCCTTCCCCATGGATGGCTAGGATGTATTGGTAATCCCTGTCCCCTCCCTTTCCTAGGTATACAGGGCTGTAGCTGCAGTTCAGAAGGCAGCAGAGGAATTGGCCTCTGGGCACCTGTCATCTGCCTTCGCTGCCAGCCAGGAAGCTGTGACATCCTCTGAGCGTGCCTTTTTTGACCCTTCACTCCTCCACCTTCTCTATTTCCCTGATGACCAGAAATTTGCCATCTACATCCCACTCTTCCTGCCTATGGCTGTGCCCATCCTCTTATCATTGGTCAAGATCTTCCTGGAGACCCGCAAATCATGGAAAAAGCCTGAGAAGATAGACTGAGTGAAGCTGCATCTCAGTAGAGTTTTCCTTTCTGACCCAAGTGGATTGCTTGGTGTCAAAACAGAGGTGTTAGATTGAGGCACACGAATGGGGCTGCTGGGAATGACTAATTCATCTCCAGGTGCCTCTGTTGGACCTGAACTATAATACTCTAAACTGGGTTCATATTTCCTTCCCTTCCCATTCCTGTGGCTTGTATCCCCCACTGACCCTTCCCCAAGGACCTCAAAAGGTATGTCAGTCTCCTCCTCTGGCTTGGACTTGACAGCCCTGCTCTATCCATCTCATAGTGGGGCACCTTGTGCTTCTGGCCTGTCTCTTGGTGTAGCACAGTCATGCACTAGAGGAGCATTGGAGGAAAGCTCTGAGCTGGATTGTAGCCGCCTGCCCTCCCCCTTCTCTCTGATCCCCAGGTGAAGGTAAACTCTGAGACCTCCCTTACTCCCTTTTCTCTGGCAAGCTTCACCTGCTGTGTTCTGTCTAGGCATAGCAGCTCTGGATCTGATGCCATGCATATGGTAGAGGTTCCCCTCGTTCTTTCAAAAAGGCAGTGTGGCATATTAGGGGGAAGTTCTGGACTGGGAATCCAACACGCCTGAACTGAAATCCTTGCTTCTGCACATACTGACTGAAAAGCTTTGGATAAGCTACTCAAGTCTCGCTAAGCCTCAAATTTCTCTTGTTCAGTGTGGCACTGATGATGCTTCATTCATAAGGTGGTTTGAGGATTAAATGTGCTAAACATTTGAAAGTGTTGGGCATGTACTGTATTAGGGAGTTACTTTAAAGCAGACGTGTAATAAAATTGAACTGGAATGGTATGAAGTATAAGCTTAATTTTCATTCTTTTATTCTTGCATAAGTAACAGACTTCTGTCTGCCCTGACCTCACTGGTCCCTATTCTACATGGCCATGTGCTGCTCTTGCCTGGGTTCTGTAGGACGCTGGGCTGGCTGCACACCTGGCCAGTAGTCCCTCCTTGTGTAGATTTGCCAAGGCTGTGAGCATCTGTTTCTGCATTTTATCAGGAGTTCTAGGAGAGAAGAGCTTGTTCCAGTGAAAGCCTTTGGATACTAACTCATCTTTTCAAGAAGTATCGAGTACTAGCAGGGAGCATCATGCTAGTACTGGGATATCAGATATCAGTGCTGGACCGTGGGACAGAGCAGAACTTACAGGAGGAAGTCAGTGAACAAAAAAATTAATGCGTGAGAAAGGTGAATCGGCTGAGCAGATAGTGACTAGAGGGAAGTACTTCCCAGCGCCTTTCAGCTGAGGCCATCATAGGAAAGTATCCTATGTAGACCCTGAGACCGGAACCCAGCGAGTGAGAGGAGCCGTAGTCAGTCCCTCCTTATTACTGAAAAAAGTACTGAGCCACCAAGGCGTTGCCAGGCTGGGCCCGCCTGCACTGCCCCTGACCTTCTGGCAGCGTGGGCTGGGTGCTGGGCGTGGCCGGCGTGGGGCCTACCCCGGGGGCGGGGCCGGGGCGGCACCTGGGGCCCATCTGGAGGCGGAGCTGTGGACGCTCCCCCTTTCCCCGGCTCCAGCCGGCGCAGGCGACAGTGGCGGTAGCGGAGAGCCTTGGGCGGCCCGGCGGGGCGAGGCCATGAAGGTGAAGAAGGGCGCCAGCGGGGCCAGGACAGGGGCGGAGCCCTCTCCTGGGGCTTCAGGCCTGAGCGTAGAACACTCGCCGGGTCTGCAAGCTGAATCAGAATCAGAGTCTGAGTCGGAGCCGGAGCCAGGCTTGGGGCCCAGGCCGGGGCCGCTGCAGGGAAAGCAGCCCATAGGGCCGGAGGATGTGCTGGGGCTGCAGCGGATTACGGGCGGTGAGCACCGGCGAGGGAAGGGGAGTGCGGGAGGCGCGCGCGGAGCCCCGGCCCCCCCCCGGCCCCCGCCCCCTTTCCCGCCCTCCCCCAGCCTCCCCTCCCCCACCAGGTCCTTTACTCTTTACTCCTTTCCCTTCCGCTTGCAAGATCTCTGTGTGCTCCCATCCCTTGATCTTTCTGTGCATCCCTTTTCTCCTTTTAGAGGTTCATTTCCACCGCACTCCTTTCTTTATTGAGGGGCCCACCCCTTTTCCCTTGGTGGAGGTGGGGCAGCAGCTGCAACTGTAACCCTTTCCCGATGCAATCTTCAGAGCCTTCTCAGGCCGGTATACACTAACGTAGAGGGGGGCTGAGTGCAGTCTGTTCTCAGTCCCTACTGGAGAGGCGAGGTGGAGGCTGAATTAGTTAGAGGTATTAAGATCCTCAGACCTATCTTGCCATTAATGTCTACACCCAGGGTCCCCCAGGAGGTCCCCATCTCCATCCCTGTCCCCTTTGGAGGTTCTTGCAGGGGAAACCTAGTCCACATGTAGTTGAATTTCTGAGTTGCACTGCCTAGGTTAGAGTTCCAGCCTTGCCACATAATTGGCTGTGTGACCTTGGGCATGTAAAAATCTCTCTGAGGATCATCTGTAAGAGGGGGATAGAATACCTCCCTTGTAAGGTTACTGTGAAAAAAAAAATCAGCCCTTAGATTTTGTCCAGTGCCATGCCTGCTATGCATGCTCTGTAAATAGGGCTCTTCTCTTAGTATCAGGAGCCCCATAGGGCTCAGCCTGGAGGCAGACACCTAGACATTCAAGGCAGAGGCAGGCATCAGCGTAGACAGGGAACATGGCAGCGGCTTGCTTGAGCCTTGAAGAAAGGGAGGTGTTTGGAGAGAAAGTGGCCCTTTGGCTAACCTTCCCTGGCTCCTTGAGAGTGGACCTGAGCTCTGGAGCTGCAGGAGCGACAGAGCCCAGGGCTTTCAGACAGACCTGTGGAGGGGACTGTGATGGCAGGCCTTAGCCTGTGCATCTGGGTCCCTGGGGGCCCCCCTTACTCTGCTCGGAGCTAGGCAGCAGCCATTCTCAGCTGGGCCCCTAGATTACAGACTGAGCTCTCTTGCCCTAACAGGCATCATTGGAGGGAGGGGGCCAGGACCAGGCTGATGTTGAAGCCAGTTGGGCTGCAGTGTACAAAAGCAATGTTTAGGATTCATCGTAGCTCCGGGGTTGGAAGGCTAATCTGGGTCCTGGACAACTTTGGGGGTTTATTTTGTAACTAAAGGAGACTTCCAGGTGAAGTAACAGCATTTATATCCTAATTTGGGAAGTTCATAGCCCTCAGAGATAGGCATCTGAAGGGAATGAACAGGGGAATGGGCCCTTTCCTGTGCAGGATTTGGGACTAGGTATCCAGGGCTTTCTACCTTGGCATCCCTTGTCTGGTGTCTTCTTACCCTAATCACATGAATCTGAGGTTTGCTGTTCCTGGATTACTGGGCCCTGAATCCAGCTTAGGAAGCTATTTGTGGCTGAGAGGAGGGGGAGCTGTTGTGTTCTCAGCCCTCATCCATTCTGCCCAGTACTCCGACCTGACCCTGGGACCTAGTCCGAGCCCTTCATGCTTCTCCGTAGATGAGCTGTAGGCGAGCTGTAGGCAGCCCCTGACTCTCACTTCCTCTTAAGTCAAGGAAAGGCCGACAGGTTGAGTTTGCAAAAGAGTCTGAGGTCTAGACTCTTAAGAATTTGTTCCTAAAGGGAGGGGGGGGTAAAGAAAAAAAGAGTCTCCCAAATTTGCAGTTGCTGAAGAACTTCTAGGAGGACTTCCAGGAGGGAGCTGCTTCAAACTCAGGGTAGAGGCAGGCCTAGGGAAGCATGACTTTATATTTACTTCCTCTTCCAATTTCAGAAGCATAGGAGGTAGCCTTGGTCTAAACGGTGACTTCCGGGCTTCTGGGGGCCACAAGTGCAGGATGTGATGCTATGCAGGGTGATAGCATCAGAGCCTTCCACTGTGCCTCTCTCCTCTTTCCTCTTGATTGCTGGGGCCTCCCTGACCACTTGAAGTTGCTGCTGCCAAAGCAGTGAGGGTGAGATTCAAGCGCTTGAGTTTGCCTCAGGCAAGCCCTCGCGTGTTTCTGGTGGGTTTGAGGACTCCCCTGCTCCCATCTGTACTCTGATGCACCTGCCAGGCCCCCTTCCAAGGTTGGCTTGTCCTCTATGAGGGTCCGAGAGCACATTGTGTGTTGGGGTGGCTTGACGCCAAAGCTGGATAGAAAACCTTTAAGGGGTTCCCTCTGTTTGCTAAGACTTCCTTCCATTTGGAGATCAACGGGGTGGAAGTAAAGTTGGGACCCTTCCCCCCAAGCATCCGAGGCTCTGGACTTGAGTCAGCAGAGCTTTGGCTAAGCTGCTTAAGGGAGCTGGGCTTGCATAAGCTGCTTATAGGGAGAAGAGGGGCATGGAGGGGAGCAGAAAGTGATTGTTCAGCTGCCCCAGCACTACCCATGTCAGGGAAAGTCCCCTCAAGATCAGCCTTGCCAAGAGCAGCTATAGGGTGGGAATAGGAGCATCCTCCAATGAAGGATTGTGCCCCTCTATGGCCCCCTCTTTGCACTGAATTTCACAAAGGCAAGGGTATATCTCTCGGGGCCTAGGGAGATAGCTCAGTAGGATAAACACCTGCCTGGCAAGTGCAGGGTGCTGAGTTCGATCCCCGGTACCCCCCCACAAAAAAAAAGTAAAAAACAAACAAAAAAAGTGTGTACCTGTCCTTTATGCTGGAGGCTCTTGCCAGACTAGAGACCAGTTTGGCTCAACAGCTCGGCCTGGCAGATCAGAGAAAATAAGGGTCCTCAACTGCAGGAGGAAGGGAAAGTGTTGGGGAAATGGCCTTGTCTACCCTTCTTTGCCCTGCCTTTGCCTAACCCATAGAGGCCACTAAAATGGGGCTATTCATCCTCTATTGGATCCCCAAGACAAAGGTATGCACTCCACAGTGGGGGGTTCACCCAGGGCAAGCGCTTACTTCCCTCTTTCTGGAAAGAAGGGCCCATAAGGACCCATAAAAGCTGAACTGGCAGCAGAGCCTTTGGGTCCCTTCCTTGCTCAGCTGTCTGTCTCCCCTAGACTACTTGTGCTCCCCTGAAGAGAATATCTACAAGATCGACTTCGTCAGGTTCAAGATCCGGGACATGGACTCAGGCACTGTCCTCTTTGAAATCAAGAAGCCCCCTGCCTCCGGTAAGCAGGCTGGTGAACCATTGGTGGGCAAGCTTGGGCCCAAATACAGAACAGATTTGGGGCTGGGACCCCAACAAACTCAGAAGTTTGTAGGTACCCAGGCCTGTTCTTTGCCCTCTGTGTCTGGGGGTGGACATGTTGGGAGGACAGTTCTACCCCTTTAATCCATGACAGCTTACCCTCTGCTGACCTGCCTGGGAACTGCATCCCCAGAGGCCCCATGCCTCTGCATCCAGTGGCCCTGGGAACCTCAGTGGGAATTGTTGCCCGGCTGACCTAGAGCTTACCCTTTGGTTCTGAAGCCTAAGCATCCCTTAGACAGATAGGGGCTTGGGTGGAACCCTGGGTGGGTGAGAGTCCAGCCTGAAGCCCACTGAGCCCAGCCGGGATACATTGCAGAACGGTTGCCCATCAACCGGCGGGACCTGGACCCCAATGCTGGGCGCTTTGTCCGCTACCAGTTCACGCCTGCCTTCCTCCGCCTGAGGCAGGTGGGAGCCACGTGAGTCGCTGGGGTGGGGTGAGGGCTGGGGTGAGGGAGAGCCCGGGAGCAGCCCTTCCTGAGTTTTTACTGAGCCTCTCAGGGACAGTGTGTCTGCAGCCTGGTGTGTGTCTTGAAGGCCAGGCTCAGCCCTGTCGCCTTCTCTTGCTCAGGGTGGAGTTCACTGTGGGAGACAAGCCCGTGAACAACTTCCGCATGATCGAGAGGCACTACTTCCGAAACCAGTTGCTCAAAAGCTTTGACTTCCACTTTGGCTTCTGCATTCCAAGCAGCAAGAACACCTGCGAGCACATCTACGACTTTCCCCCTCTGTCTGAGGAGCTGAGTATGTGAGCAGGGCCCTGTGGGACTGGGGAATGGGACGGGACGTATAGAGAACACACTGCGGGAGAGAGGGGGTGCTTGAAGACTCAGTCCTCTTTCTTCCCAGCCTGGATCACTTTAGTGGGCACCATTCCTGTGTCATCTGAATGGAAATAGCTCATAGCAGAGGAATTCTCTGAGGTGGTTCAGCTGTCCCTGTCACCTAGCCCTCTAGCTTCTCAGTGGCCTGGCTTGGGCTTCTGACTTTTGACCCTGGCTGGGCCTTTTCTTGCAGTCAGCGAGATGATCCGTCACCCTTATGAGACACAGTCTGACAGCTTCTACTTCGTGGATGACCGGCTGGTGATGCACAATAAAGCAGACTATTCCTACAGTGGGACACCCTGACCCCCAGAACTGCTCCCCACCCCAGGAGGCCTGGGCCCTCAGCTGTGACCTCTCCAAACTCATCTCTCAACTCCAGGTCTTCTGCTTGGGGTGTGCTCCAGGAGCCCTGGACCCTGAATCAGTGTTGGGAAGAAGATGCCGCGTGTCCCCAGGCCAAGCCTTAACACCCCTGGGGCCTGGTGCATGGGTCGAGGTGGTAGGAGCTGTTTGCCTCAGTGTCCTTTTAGGCCTCCTGTAAGAGGATCAGCCAGGACTTCCAGACAGCCTAGCTCGGCCCTTTTGGGCCCAAGTTTCACAATACTGTTTCCGGCTCCAGGCTGTGACTAGGTCAGGACAAGGATCTATTCTTTGTCCCCTGTCAGCCGTATCCAGGGCATTTAGAGTTATAAGTTCTCAGACAAAGGTCTGCAGGGGTATGGGTCTCAGCTTCCCGACTCTCATCAGGGGCTAAGATACTGCCTGAGATGGGGGGACCAGCCCAGATTGCAGCCTGTGCTGGGAACTAGACCAACTGTATATAGTTTTCAATAAACTCCTTTTCTGTTCTCTGGTGTGGCCAGTCTGTGTGTGCATGGACAGAGGCAGGGATGGGGATTAGAGCACTGAGGCAGTAATGTGTTCAAGGTAGCAAAACTCTTCCCCGCTTTCCTGTTCCCTCTGCCCCCTGGGTTCTCCTGTCCCAGAGTTCTCAGAACTCTGATGCCATGCTCTTGCATCTAGAATCAGCAGTTAGAACATGAATGAGCTGGAAAAGGTTTGTCCTGGGATAAAGAAAAAAACCTGGGTCTTGAGAGAGGAACCTTTGGCCTAAAGTCAGCCAACCTCTGGTAAAGCAGAGGCTAGAACCATGGAAGAGAATGTGGGGAGGTGGGTTATCCTCTACACCATGCTTCCTATCTGCAGAGGCCACTACTGGGTAGTTCTCATCAGAGAAGCTGAGAGGGATTTGGCTAAGGCCTAGCGCCATCAGCTTGTCCTGTGCAAACAGTGCCTCATGCTAGGTGTGGTGGTGCACACATATAATCCCAGCACTCAAGGCTGAGGCAGGAGGGTTGCCATGAGTTTGAGTCCAGCCAGGACTACGTAAACTAGTTCAAGGCCAGCAAAACAACAACAAAACTACTACATCAGACTCCTCCCCTTCTCTAGACCTAGAGGAAGGGGCTGCTTGATGGAGGTGCTTCTGGAACAGAGGGAGGCAGGCTCTCTTTCCCCCTTGGTGTCAGCCCTCCAAGCTGAGAAGCCATGGAGCTGGAATTCAGCTGCGTAAGAGTGTGTAGACCTAAGAGCATTTGATAGTGGGGGAGGAAGAGGAACCCATAATGGCAACAGAGAAGCCTGTTTTGTTTTGTTTTCAGAACCAGGGATTGAACTCAGGCCCTTGAGTTTGTCAGGCAAGCACTTATTCCACTGAGCTATCTCCCCAGCCCAAGAAACCTGTTTTGAAGCAAGGGCTGACCAAATAGCTTAGCAGATTAAAGTGCCTCCTTAGGCAGAGCGCAGGGGCTAGGGGTTCAATCCCCAGCCCACCATGCTGGTCCTGCCCCCCGGGGTGCACTGAGAGGGCAATTGAGACTGCGTGTGGTGGCACACGCCTGTAATCCCAGGGCTTGGAAGGCTGAAAACAGAAGGATCACTGCGAGTCTGATCTATGGAAGTGAGACCTATAGATCTTGTACTAAATACATACATTAAAAAAAAAAAAAGAAGAAGTTTGCTGGGGAGATAGCTCAGTAGAATAAGCACTTGCCTGGCAAGCTCAAGGTCCTAAGTTGAATCTCTGGTACTGGAAAAAACAAAAACAAAAACACCTAATATAGAGAGAGTTCACTAAGAAGCCAAGGCTCAGGGGTTGCTGGTTGCCACAAAGGTTAGGAAGGGGCAGGTGGACAAGTGTGCGTGTGGTTTTGCAGATGAGGTGTATAAGTATTTTTTTTGTAGATTTTAATTTCTTTTATTAATTAGAGATAAATACAAAACATAGTAATGGTAAATCTGTGTAAGTGGGAGTATTTGCCAAAAATACAAAGGAGGAGATATTGGATGCCTAAGTAACGTCTGTGTACAAGGTGTATAAGTATTGAGGCTTATACTCTGCTTTTTGGTTCTGTACATCTTTTGCCTTTTATAAGTGTAAGGGCTTGTAGTTGTATTAGTTTATTGGGATATAAGTCTGTGGAGTTGCTTAGCAAGGAGGGACCAGTACTGGTGTCAGGAAGAGGACCCTTCCCTACTACCCTGGTCATAAATTGTCTTCTTCACTGCAGCTGCTAGTAGAACCAGCCAGAGGTTCCACCTGCTGATGTTCCAGACCTTGTCTGCTGTACTTCCACCTTCAGACAGGAGGGGGCTCTCTAGCCTGGGGGCCTCTTCCCTGCCTGGAGCAGGTACCAGGTTGGCTGTCTCCTGCCTGGAAGAAGCCTGGCTGGGAAAAGGCATTGACTTCTGCCTTCTTTTAAATCTTCATGCTTCTGCGTCTAGTCCAGTGGTGCAACGTGTTGCATTTAGTTCCTGGCACTTTTTCTAGAAACCTGGAGTGTCTCTGGCAGTATAAGAAGGTGGGGCTGGTATTGGCACAGATGTTCATGAGCTGCCGACATTGAAGGGGATAATTCCCTTGGTGGGACCAGACCTTGGACTCTGAAGTGGGCTAGTCTTTTGTGCTTTGACTTTTTTAGAGTGTCATCATGTCTACTCCGTAGAGCAGACAAACTCAAACCTTAGAGGTGAATCCCTTGCTTGTGTCCTGCTAGGCAGGCCTGCAGGATGCACGCTGGAACTGGGAAACCAGGTATTAGAACACTGAGATGTTTCCCTCCAGTGGGAAAGAGCTGCTGTCCCAAGTCCTGGCACCTTCCCCCTAGAATAGCCCTTCCCTAAAGGTTGCTGTCTACTTCACCATCCAATAGCTAAGGCAAGCAAACTTCACTTTTTTTTTTTTTTTTATGTGCTACAGACTCTATTGTCCATTTTTTTAAAGCCTAGAGACAGTTTCTGAGAACAAAAATCTCAAGATTTTTGAAAACATAGAATACATTGCAGCCATGTGTGGGCGTGATCCCAGCACTCAGGAGGCTGAGGCAGGAAAATTGCTGTGAGTTCAAGGCCTCCCTGAACTACAAAGTGACAGCCTATCCAAGAAAAAAAAAAAATATATATATATATATATAATATGTCATATATATATATATATATATATATATATCCTATATAATATATACCATTTATTTGATACAGGGTCTTACTATGCAGTTTGGACTCATAGTGATAGGACTCATAGTTTGGACTCCTATCTCAGCCTCCCTAGCATTGGGATTATAGATGTGGCAGGCAAAGCACACCTGAGATTCCAGGACCAGCTTGGCATGAGGTACTGAGGATCGAACCTGGGTCCTTGCACTTGCCAGGCAGATGCTTAGGCTGCCGAGCTATCTCCCCAGCCCTCTCCTATATATAATTTTTTTTATTTTTACATTTATTTACTCTGTGTGTGTGTGTGTGTGTGTGTGTGTGTGTGTG